ACTCGTATTTGTACTCAGTCTTGAAAAAACTGGTATCGGGACACCCCTAGTTGTTACCGACATCTGGTGAAAATTTCATGTCATTAGTACCTCTAGTAATATATTTACTGAGAAAAATGGTGACGTGTGCAATACTTATTTTACCCGCTGTATGAGGCATTATAACATGTGACAAAATTGACATTTTGGGGTGGCCTTTTATTGACTGCCGTCCAAGCATTGTCCAGCTGTTGCTCTTTTTGACTGATCACCCACTGGACATGCCCCACCCATGCACCGAGTTAAAAAAAAAMAACTCAGAGTAATGCTCACTGACAGCAAGTTAAGATTAAAGTTTATACACAAATCAAGAGAAATATTACTTTTGTACAATAAAATGTCAGCAAAYGCTCATTTACTGTTGATAACTCACCATGGCAACAATATTTGACATGGGGCATTTATATATTTTTGTTAAGTGTAAAATACATGTCTTCCACTTTCTTCCATGTCAGAGTTTTAAACTCATGCTGAATGGTGATGAAGTTTTTTTATAACTCTAAWCGGTTCGATCCCCTGTTCCAGCCRTCTCAGTCTTTGTGTCCTTAGGCTAGACAGTTAACCCACCTTGCCTGCTGTCGGTGGTCAAAGGGTCCGGTGGTGCCGGTGCATGGCAGCCCCGCCTCTGTTGGTCTGCTCCAGGGTAGCTGTGGCTACTTTGTGGCTTACTTTCATCAAAGTGTGATTGGGTGAATGATTAAAGTGTAAAGAACTTCATAGTCTGTACAGACTTGATAAAGCACTATATAGGTTCAAGCCATTTACCATTTACCTGTTAAGCGTACCTTGTTAAGGGTTTCTATGCAGACCTAGTTTTGCACCAGTTTCCCTGTGACCCAGAAAGAAAAAAAAACCTGATAAAGGAAATGGATGGGTGAGATGCAGTTTTAGCGTTTTTTTGGTCAAACATTATAAATCAGGGGTCCCCAACGACTGGGCCAATGATCATTTTCATAGTATTGGTCCATGGTTCATTTAGTGCCTGGCACACGAAAAAAGACAATAAATATAAATGTATTGGTTTGCAGGGTATTTCCTTTTTTAAACTTATTTCATTCATAAAATAATAAAAAAAATCCTTTTAAAAAACATAGTAAATTATTGAATGAAAAGGGTGTAGAAAGAAACATCTTACAATATGTGCCCCTTATCAAAAAATAACTTCAACAATCTTCATATTTGCAAAAGGAAAAACAAAATGAAAATAAAAACAAGAACAAAACTAGAACTGCAAAGCAGTTGTGACTGGCGTCCAAGCCTGTTTATGCATGTCAACTTTGGTCCATGTTGTTTCCAGCATCCTGTCGACCTTGTGTTCCACAAAAAAGCAGAATGATTGGGTGTATTTATAAAGTCTGTTTGACAGCCTTGTGCCACAGCATCTTTTGAGCTCCTTCTCCATGGGTGTGCCTTTRACTTGTTCTCACCAATTCAGGGTTGGCTAAATGTGTCTCCATTTTTGGTTCCAACCGCACTTTTTGGATCTACCTCAGCGGTGGTCCCAAGCAGGTCAAGCTGAGTATTGACTTGACAATGGAGAAGGGGCTTTTGTGAACATGGATCCCATGTTAGGTGTGTGAATGTCCCAATAAAATGGGAAATTTAGTACATATTTGTAACCCTGTAAATGAGAAAGTCAAAGGTGTGTGCATATATACTTGTTTCTTTATGTTACCTAATTTTAACAATTTTGAAAACACACAGCACTTTGAGGACTCACACTGTATGTGGATTAAAGCTTGGTGCCCATAACGTGGAGTATGAAATCAACAAGAAGTCCTCATGGGGATAGAAAAACAAGCGTGTGTGTGTGTGTGTGTGTGTGTGTGTGTGTGTGTGTGTGTGTGTGTGTGTGTGTGTGTGTGTGTGTGTGTGTGTGTGTGTGTGTGTGTGTGTGTGTGTGTGTGTGTGTGTGTGTGTGTGTTTGTCATTCCTATGGGCTTCAAAAATTTAAAAATCACTTAAAACCACCAGATTGTCATTAAATTCTGAAGACTTACAGCAATTGGCTACACATTGTACATTCTACACGTTTTTAAAGTCCCTCAGGTTCAAACTTATTCATAAAAAATGTAATTATACATACTCCATAGTGTTAAACAAAAGATACAAAATGCTACAAATTGATCATACTCAAAGAAAAATCAAATTTCTTCATGATAGCTTGGAAAACATCCCTGCTAGTTTTCCTGTTTAAAACCTTTTCGCAATCTCTGACTATAAATTATTAAATTTGAACAAAACTAGTTATATGATATTCAGTAATAGAAAGAGAAATGTTGATGTTTCATTTAGCATTGAGATTATGCACCTCCCCATAAGTATCAAGCTTCATAAAGCTCAGCCCACTGGAATATACAATTCAAAAGTGGAAAAAAATAATAATAATCAGGCCTTCTGCTATTTTACAGTCCTTGGGCCCTAATGAAAAAAGGAACAGATACAATAGGGGTCCATGCTACACTAGATGCGTGGAAATGCTGCTGTGTTGAAGCTGCATTTCCCCTGCTCCACATGCATGGACCTCTAAAAATATACTTTGCTGAAAAACATTGTTTGTTGTTACTAATATTAGTAAAGTTGAAGAACCAGTTCATGATGCAAAAAGGTTTCTGATCACTGTTATAAATGATGTTGTGTAAGCATGTTTTTAATTATCACTGTCATGTTTTTATTGTTATTGTCCTGTGTTTTTATTTGATTGCTGTGCTGAATGTATTTTTTAAGTCTGTTGTACTAGTGCTCTTTTAAAAAAGTAAGTAAAGTTTCTTTCAAGATAGACAAAGATTTGACTTGACTTGATGTGGTATTGTAAAACGTAAGATATGTCAGTGCTCAAAGTATGTAATGAAGATAGTCAAGATCAAATTTAGCTCAAAATTGAAAAAAATGTGTTAGAGCCATTTTGGGTGAACAAATGTTGATTAGCTGTGATGGCCATCTTGGATTGAGGCAACTCTAAAAGTTGTAAATGTGCATCCAGTGATTAAATTCTGCAAGTTTTTTTAAAATCCATTCAATGGTTCATTAGATATTTTGCCAATTGACAGACCGGACATAAATTGGCTAAGTTATAGTAATGGTTGTCTGTCTCACAGCTGCAGGAAAGCCATGAGAAGGTGGCCGAGCAGATCAGCAAGGATGTGAACCAGCTCTGCTCTCAGCTGGCTGCTCTGTGGAACTGCTTCCTGGAGGCTGCTGTGCTTAACCCCCACATCCTGTCCCATCTGACGCAGGAACACCACACTCTCAGGGTAAAACTCAGAACAAAATATTCTAACATCATGTCTGACCATAACTATTTACTACATGTTCTGCAAGGTTTTTATCACATCTAAGGGCTAAAGACACTACATGTAATCAGTGGAGGGCAGCGCTAATCCAAAAATTAGCTCCGCAATTTCTAAAGCGCTTATGAAAGTATTTAGGTCTGCAACTTCAAAAGCTCTTATGCCATAGAAAAACTAGCAGAAGCTAATTTTAAAGCACAAGTTCAATTTGACACTTACTAGCTGGCAATAATTCATGTACAATATATGTACAACACTGCCAACTAGCGGTGTATGAATCCTTTTACAGCTTAATCCTACAACCGCCGATTGCTGGGGATGTGATTTCATGAAACAGACATTTGGCTCCTGGTGTAAAATTTAAAAAATTGCTGTTCAACAAAGCAGCCACTGTTCAAAAGAATGTCCCAACACAGACGAGCTACGTCTAATGGCCAGAACTCTACAGTTTTCACTCATTTACAGGCCAGCGGTCACTCTTTCAGAGATGAGGATGTTCTCATTCTTGATAGAGAGGAACGTTGGTTTGAGAGAGGAGTAAAAGAAGAGCTGTGTGAAGCTGACACCCCACCCACACAAAAAATAAAAAGTAGTAAGCGGATTGGTT